AATATTTCTTCCTTTCCTTTCCTTTCCATTATCCTATCGTATAGATGACACATACGATATACTTATATATCTTTTTTTTCCTTTTCTGTCCATCACTTGGACATTTCTCTTCTCTTGATAGTGTTCAGGTATTTTCCTCTCGTTCATGATTATTTCCAAATCTCTTTTGGATTTTTCTAACTCGTTCACCTATATATAGTGAACGCTTTTCTAAATAAAATCAGACGTTGATTTTCTATCAGATAAAGCAAGTCTCCCGTTAACACAACCATCTAGTAAAATCTTCGACAAGAAATTCCGCTCTTTTATTTCTATCTTTTACGAAAATGAAATTATTCAATATATTTTTCAGAATATTTTATTTTAATAGCTCTTTTTTTTTTCATAATATAAAAAATTTATAAGAAAATATATTAAAATAGTCTCAATTTTTGTTTTCGCTGATTGTAGCATCAACTTCTTGTTCAATAGTATCGAGAACACTAGGTCGATATGGTTTCCATCCCAATTTTCGTAGTCGCTGAGCCGTAGCATTTGACTGTGTACCAAGAAACCAGCGAAATGGTTCAGGAAAAACAGTATTTATCTCATCATCGGGAATACTTGTGACTTTTGATGATTGAATGTATCCTTTCTTATGTAAAATTTCACTGACTTTTTCGAATATTTCTCGCCATGTATTCCGCCCATTTTCAACAAAGTAGTAGCCTTCACGTCCTGTAGTTAAATATGGATTAGGTTTTACATCAGGTTTCGCATCAGGTCCATAAGCAGCGAGAAGTTCATTGAAAAGAATAATGTAAGCATCAACTAAATCATCAATATGAACATTATCCCATGTTGCTTCACCTGGTCCAATCAATCCTAGCTTTCCCTGTTGTAAGGCAATCTGAATTAATTTTACGAATACGATGGTTTGACGCTTAAACAGACCCGTGCCCGTGCCATAGATGACGGAGGGGAGAACAATAACACTTTTTAATAAAGGGTTAACTTGTGCTGCATTGATTATAAAGAGATCAACATTTCGATGTATTTGAATTTCAGCTAGACCATTGATTTGGTCAGGATCAAGATCGTTGTAAACTGTGTTTGATCCTCTTTTGCCACGAACATCTTCAGCAAGAACACCAGTACCACTAGTATGTATATAAATGACTTGTTTTCCTGTTGTTTGAGTTCGTTTATTTAAACCCGAGACAATTGATTTTGCTGAAGGAAGATCATCAGCTGAATCAGCTGTATGAATAACAACATCTGATTGACTTGCTGCTTTCTCAATAATATCATGTGAATCGTTTGATCCAACAACAGGAGTAACACCAAGTGATTCGAGTTTCTTTACTCTACTTTCATCACCACGAATGAGAGCAGTTATTTTGAAATTCGAAGCATTTGGATGATTAAGAAGACCAGTTAAAATGGAACCTCCAATGTAACCAGTTGCACCAGTCAAAAAAATATTAATTTGTTTTGAAGACATTCTATATAAATTTGTATGAACAGATAATTTTTACTTGTATGAATGTGAAATGTAGCTTTCCGTTTATATATATATCGAATAGACCTATGTATTGATGACTTAGCAAAAAGCATTATGTACATCTATGCAAAGGCATGAGTCATAAAAAAAATACGATGATCCGTACGCTAGTGAAAGATGATTCATTGCTCTTTTCTAAAAAGTGAACAATTTGACATGTCTATGCATTTTGAATACACACCTATTCTGCATTAAAATGTTTTTCTAATAAATAAAGATAATAAAATTCTTTAGGACAGAAATATAAACATTGGGTTTATCGATTATATTTATCAAAAACTCTCTCTAACAGAGGTTTATTGCATAGTAACACGTAGAGAGAACAGTGCAGTAATGGCTTTCGGCGGATATGGTTTTTTGTGATCTTATACATTTGATTAATATGGCAACTCGTTGTGCTGTTTGTTCAAAGACCATTAATAATAATAATAAGGAACGTTTACGTACTGTAACATTTGATACTGAAGCCAAAATAAAATTCGGTTATTATTCTCAGCACAAAGAAGTCTTAAATGGTTCTTTATTTGGAACAAAAATTCATGAAACATGTTATAAAAGGTATTATGATCGGTGGTACAATAAATTTGTTAGAAATATAACGAATGATTGTAAACAGGAAACAAGTTCAGTTAGCAATGAAAACCATGATAACGATGATGATATAAGCGAAAATAATGATAATGATAATAAACCAAATGATCTTTCTTGCTCAACAGCAATATCAACAAATCCAGCAGTCATTAAGAAACAAGTAGCGTTCGAGGTGTGGGTGTGGGTATGAGTATGGATGAATAAGAGATCTAGACCCACACCCTAGTTCACATGTAAATATAATATGTACATATTTTTAGATAAACACGTAAATTATGCACTTATTTGCTACCAAATGATACAGAGCCTTGTTTCATTGAAAAGCAGGCGATTCCAAGAAAATATGTAAATTTGATACAACTTGACCGAATAGTTTCGGAATCGAGAAATATGAATCTGTAGGAAGTTCCTTAAAATTTCTGAACTTTATTTTTCTGATCACGGGAGGCCTATTTTCTATGTTTTAGTCAAGTCTTAGAACAAATTTTTATTTTCTTAAGATCGACATTCTATTATGAGGAGCATCAGAAAAAGAGGCAGAATTTGTATCGTTTGTTAGCAGATCAGTACTAAACATGTGTATCTAACTAAAAATATGGACGTATTATGTTTATATATTTACTTTAGACAAGTAAATATTTTATTTACCTATTTACTCGTAAAGTAAAACTAAAATGCTACTCGTTAGCAAAACGTATAAAGACTGATTCGTCTATCTATTCCATAGATGACTTAATTCGCGTAAATTTTCAACTGCTAGTGCTATGAAGTAATCATTTCATTTCTGATATGTCTTCTTTCAACTAATGCTGATCGGTCTCTTAATCATGTAATTAGTATAGAGACTTGTAGAAATTGAATCAACAACTTTGTTTTACTTCCTTGTCATTCTAACCTGGTTTTTATATTTGTAATATATTCTGTTTCGTTGTTTTTGTGTCTTATTTTTCTTATCAGCTGCTGTTTTTTCGATGAATTCTATCAATGTAAGTGACTGAATCTTTTCTTATTATAGTTAGTTAATAACCATAATGCTGAAGGATAGATATTCTTAGATAAAGTATTGAAGATCTATTGAAGTGTTTTGGTTTATTTCGCGTGTTTTAACATATTGACTTTGACTTAAATAAACAATTTATATGTCGAATTAGTTAATGATTATCACTTATGCCAATTCTTTTCTTTTTTCTTGCTATCATGAACAACAAACAATATCACTCGTCAATTTTTCAGTTCAACTTGGTGGAAATAAGTGGAGAACGAACGATGGTAGTTTATAAGTTTCGAATAGTTCTGACTCTATACTTCTCTGACAAAATGCAAAGAGTATCTATGCACTATAAACACATAGAAATTTTATACCTTATACATATTTTCGTGTATGAATATTTTGAATTTTTATATTAAATAATATGTTAGAGAAAGAACAGAAACTTCCAGAACCTTATGCTACCTGACTGTTAGTTCAGACGATTACCTAACTTTTCCAACCTTCCTACTATTTTTTATAATTGGCTTGTCGCTCGGAATTGATTTTTATAGTGTTCAAAAAGTAAGGCCTAAATTTTCCATAGAATTTAGAATTTGAACAGTTTAATCAAATGCAACACGATTTTTAACGTTACCTTTGATAATTCGCATTAAAAAAAATCTGCGTGATAGACCATTTGAATAGAACAATAAAAAAAATTAGACAAGTAAGGAACTTCTCTGGATTGGCACTTGAGTAACTAATATGCATGAAAGTATCGATAGTTCTTGTTAACCAGTATTAATTAGCGAACTAAAACTCCAGAACATTTTAAATTTTGATTGACATCGAAATGGTGAAAATCAAAATTTTTAACCTACTAGAAACACACTAAAAATCGTGAACGAATATAAATCCATTCTGAAATTCAATACACTGTCACCGTATCAAAATACAGATGTAAGTGTGGATGCATGGATGTAGGTGATTGGGTGTCAGTGTTGGTGTGCGGGTGAATGCGTGTGAGTGATTGAGTGTCCTTGTGGATGATTGAGTGATTAGATGTGTGTGATCGGATATGTGGATGAGGGTGACTGCGTGTGAGTCTGTGGGTATGGATAATTTGGTATGAGTGTGTAGATGTGGTTAGGGGCGCCCACAACCAGAGCCATATCGGCACGCAAACCCATTCGCACTAAAGGGCATCGTGTCGACGATCGATATTTTTCCTGATCACTGTCGTGCTTTCGCTTTAGATCGGATAGGATCCGTGCCCACTCTTATGTGCTGATCAGTGGGCAAAAGTTTTCTAAGTTCTCATTAATCTATAGCTTTATGACTGAATTGTATTCCCTCGTATGCGTTGGCCTTGGTGCATGATAGAACACTAATCGCCCACATCCTCGTCCTCAAGCTTTGCGGTCGAAAGGTTTTCGGCTTCACTGCTATGTATTTCTATGTTACACAAAGGTTTCACGGTTGCTGTCACCGATCCATTCATCTTTCTTGAGAGACATATTTTAGAACTATCAGCGCGTTGTCTTGACTTCTTATGATGATAGTTCGGTCTAGATGTCGAAAATCGCAAAAGGTCATGAATAGAATGGCACAGAAATGTAGTAAACTAATGATGTAAAATATAGACCAAATTCTAGAATAAAGAATAATAATATTAATAAACATGTGCGCGATATATGCAGGAAAGCAAATTCTTTAGACCACTGACTGAAAAAAAATCATCAGTCGATCGGATAAATGGAAGTTAATCATGGGTATCGATTCCATTGCTGGCTCAGTCCTTTGCAATTAATATTCCGATTATATGTCTGTTATATTTATGACGCTTGTAATACTCGACTTCTGTTTAGAAATTATCGTAATAAATCACTCACCAGGATGAAATTTCAGTGGTGATAGTTTCCAACTGCGTTGAATTTTGTGTATGCGACACACGTGGTTTGTTTACCGAAAGACTCTTTTATGACTTGCGCAGCACAACAATATTTTACATATCTTATCTTTATTCTTTCTACCTACATTTCTTCGTCTTTTTTTGAATTTTTGTCCACCACGAGCTTTCTTGATAAGAACTGTTTATGGTAACAGAATAATATGCAACATGGAGAGTAGACGAAGAGTGATGACCAAGAAAGAAAAAAAACATATTTGTAAAAGGAAATACATTTCAAATAGACTACGTTCATCGATATTCATATGTGTATGCTGTAATGTGGTTGACATCGCTCAATAGCAGGCAATGACCAACAATAATGGATTCCATCCAGTATCAATGAGAAGATTAAATTATCGACAGTATTAACAGAGAACGACTATTGTGAAAATGGATTCAGATCTTTATTTCGTTCTTAAATAGATAAAACTTGATAATTTTCAATATAATTATGATTCGTCGAATTGCATAAATATTTTAGAATATCTGACGCATTCATCTTATTTCTCCAATGCAAAAAAGCAAGTAACTAGAAACTTTTTTGCTTGATGTTCTTCATTTGAATATGCACATCAAAAAAATATTCATGTCACGAAAAGAATATGGGTGGGTGTGGGTGTGGAAGAGATGAAGATTCACACTCACACCCACACCCACAACCACAACCACACACCCAACCACACCTACACCCACACCTATACCCACACGCACACACACACACACACCCACACCCACTCACACTCTGATCCGATATTTTAGAAAATGCCTTTATACTTAATTTTTTGATGGAATTTAAGTAATAAACATCGAGTTTCATCAGTTTTCATGCTTATGGATTTTTCTGTTCTACAACGATTGAAAAAACTTGGCGATAAATGTTTTGCTAAACTCTGTCTTGTAACTAGTCGATGGTATAATATAGAGAACAAAGCCAAGAGCTTGTGGAATATAAGACAATAAAAAAGCACCAAGTAGTGTATGACGCTGCCAGTGAGCCAGTTCCGTACATGCAAAACTAAATGTAAGAATTAATTCGGGTAGAGAAGAAAATATAATAATCATGGGTGTAATATAGAGTTCTTTCTGAGATCGAAATTGTTTTTTCAATATTTGAGCAAACGTTATTGTCTGTTCACTTGTCTTTCGTCGACTGCATGCAGCTAAAACAATCAGAAGAGTTATACAAATGACTTGAACAAAAAACGGAAAGAGATAATGAATAAGAGTTGAAACACGATTATAGGCTGAAACCAAATGACTATTGAGATTTACTACACATATATATGAGTTACTAGCATGATGTTCAATAACTGTATAATAAATGATTTCATGCACATGCATACCAAAAAGGATAATTAATGTAATAATGCATATTATAATGGCTTGATGAGGACTTTTTAATGTATGAGAAGTTGGAAAAAGAATAATAAGAAAGCGATCAATGGTAATCCAACTTGTCAACCAATAGGTCGATCGTGTGAATACGGATAGAAAATAGGAGACTACTTTGCATGTTTCCAAATGTGAAATATTAACAGTGATCTGAATAAATTTAAATAGTAGAGAGAACAAAGCAGCTTGATTGACAAATGCGACTGCAAACAAGTAGTTACCTGCACCGAACTTTCGAGGTGTAGGTCGCTTAAATGTGACGAATAAACAAAGATTATTAAAGAAACCAACAGTGAAAATAATAAAAGCTATGAAGATATAAATGATCTTCACGTGTTTTGTATAGCCGACAAGAAGTGAATCGAGAGTGAAGCCGAATGCCTTCAAGCTAAATTCACATCGATGTCCTTGATGACAAAATGGACAAAGACATATGAAGTTGGTTGGATTTTTTCGATCACCTTGAAGACATTTTCCTCTATATAGGCAGTTATCACAATGATCTAGTTGAGTATTATAAATATAACAATCTGCACGATAGTTGTCACCTTGACAGATACACAGATAATTTTCATCATGAAAACAATAACGACGAGTATCATTTTGACAGATCTGATGATATTTGAAGACGGCTGGAACAGATGGATGAGGATCTTTGTGAAAAACTTCACTTTCCAATAATAGAGACGAGACATGTGGACAATGTCTTGGAGATGAAGTAATATTGATCACTATCTGATCCAGTAAGTACATAATAAAATATTGTGGATCTGATAGATCTTGATAAATTTTAAGAAGTCCGAGAATGGGCGGCATAATCTTATCCTGATCATAAAATACTATTCTTGGCATATCGTAATAGACCTGTTGATATTTCAAATTCAATGAATATTCATGAATATTGAAAATTTGAGCTACTGTGCCACGAGCTGATGATATTAGAGCCATATGCAAATCGATACTAACAGATAATTTCTTATATTGACATCGATTTCCGAAGTATCCGTCGGAACAAGCACACAAATATGATATTTCGCCACTTATATCATAAGTTGTTTGGCAAATTCCATCGTTCAAACATGGCTTTGAATAGCAATCATCATATTTTAAATGACAACGTGGACCAAATCGACCAATTGGACAAATGCAATAAGGATAATTTATATTGATATCATCGAATCGACAGAGTGCATCAGAAGAACAATACGATTCACAACGATGTTCATACATTTGACAATATTTTCCATAAAATCCACTTTTACATGAACAATAATAGGAGTTATTTTGATTGAAAATCGGCTTACAAGTCGAATTCTCAGTGCAATTATTTTTCAAACAACGATCATACGTTTCATTTCCAAACCAGAATGGAAATCTTAAAATAACGGCTAGACGAAATCCTGGTAGGTAATCAAAATAAATTGGATAGTGCCATGAGCCTAGTTCTTGAATACTATTGTTTATTGTAAGTGTAAAAACATCGAAATGAACTGAGTAAGGATGATTATGAATCACATCATATCGACTGAAATATCGCTGTATTTTATGTGCAAGCATACTATTAGATTGCATATAAAGTAAATAGAATTTATGTTTAAAAATCTTGACATCTTCAGTTGTTGGAATAACATGAAATACATGATGATCGATGATTGTTTCCTTGAATACAAAATTAGCTTTGATTTTTAGCGTCGTATTTGATAATATGTTGGGAGCAACATGTGTAATGACACTAATTCGATCAGTGAAGAATTCACACCGACTACCATAATAAGCTGGCGGACATAAACATCGAGTCGTATTCCCTTCAAGAATAGTAACACCTCGATTGCATTGATATGAATAAGAAATGAATAAACTGTCATTTCGAATGGTGTTGTTTGAATTTGACATTGCCGATTCATTTGTTACGCTTATATCAACGATTGGAGAATATGAAAAATGCATTGATCTCTGCTTTGTATAGTATTCCTTTTCTTTTTTAGAACGGTAACGTAGCAGATTTTGCGATGGATTCGAAATACACCAGTATTCATCTTCTCCATCGGGACAGTCAAGTTTATTATTGCATCGAGCATTCTTCATGCAAACATTTGTTCTTAGACAAATAAAATCATTTGTACCTGAACATGTTCCATTTTCATCACGATGATTTGAACACAGAATTGTTGTGCAATTATTGAATACAGAATAAAGACAAGCAGCTGCATATGATATATGAGTAGATTCACAGACAAGTTCGTAACCTAACATGCGAGAATTAATTTCAAATGTATTTTTTTCGTCATAACCACCGTAACAATCTTCGATCTTATTGCCAATTTGAGTAAGATTGATGCATGGTCGATGAGTATCAATATTCAATGGATTTGATACTCCTGATCGATAGCATCCAAATTCAAAGGAAGTATTGCATATGGTAGAAAATGGAGACTGAGAATATCGTTCACGACATTTCTTCACTTTATCATTTAACTCGGAGAGTTTGGCATTGTGTACTGACCAAGTATTAATGAGCACAATAGCTTCTTCATCAGATGCATCAGCACAATCCCATTCACCATCACATACCCAATCAAGTTGAATACATTGTCCAGTTTGACATTCGTATTCATAGTGTTGACATGTCCAATATTTGCATGCAAAACTCGATTCATCAATATGATTATTGAGATCCCAGAAACTATTGCAATATGAATAAAAAGGTATTTGAGAAATCGATATTTTCTCTTGATGCTCAAGCAATGAAATATTGGTGATTGATGACAATCGAATATACTCTCTTAAACGATCACAACCTGCATTGTTTCCTTCATAGCAATTGATCTCTCTTGCAATAGGATTGCCAGTACCGTACCATATTTCATCATAACCGTTTGAACACTCATTTTTTCCTGAACCCAAATATGAGACTAATAGACATTTGTGTTCATTGTTAAAACATTGAAAACGATGTCGTTTCACATTACCAGTACAATAGTCTTTATCAAAGTCTTTGAAGTCATCTTCTTTATCAATACAGTCGTGATATCCATCATGAATTCGATATTGTGAAATACATTCTCGAGATGTCTGACATACATCAGGAAAAACAGCATACGGTTGATCATTAAATGTTCGAGAGTTATTCCAACAATTTGGCTCATATTGAAAACGCGATGAATTATTTCGATAGCCATACATATATTCACTCATGGCACAAAGAAAATAATGACTGCGACGATTTGATAATGCAAGTGCAAAAGGCAACGTCTCTGTTGTATAGGCACTAAAGTGATATCCTCGACATTTCATTTGACCAGTGACAACGAGCATATTAACAAATGATTTCTTCTCCCATTCATTATAGACGAAGAAGGACACTAAATTGCTGTTGATCAGTCCTCGAGGAGGATATAGAATTATGGTATTGGATAAACAAAACTGCATCATTATTTTTGAACAGTTAACCTGATCACAAGGACAATCATGCTCGAAGTTATTTGATAAAATGCATCGAAATAGATATTGACATATTTCGTCGGAAGTTAATTTTGCAGAATTCAACATATTCAATGATGGATATCGAGAATCATCATAACCTTTCTCTGGCGAACACAATCCATCTTTTAGTGTCCAAGAAGGTTGATTTTGACTTGCCTCACACATATAATTTACATTTCGTTTGTTATAACAGTCCTTTCCGAATGAAACTTCTCGTTGAAATACCAGTCGAGCGAACCATTCAATACATTGTCCATCACCGCATGAGTACGTGTTCTGATGGCACAAATGTTCATCACATTCAATAGACTTTGCCTGAAAATAACATGATTCTCCTAAATCAATATTATATTCATCAGACCAGTCCATACAATCATAATTACCTATAAAAGTGCGTAATATATATATATATATATCATAGGAATATTCAACTATACTAGCCATCAAGCCAGAATTCTTCCGGAATACACATACCATTTGTGCATCGAAACTCATCATCTTCACATTCGTTGAATTCTAACTTGTCGCAATTCTCTTCATCAAGACCATTGAAATACTGTGGATTACCATCGCAAATATCTCGCCAATCGAGACAGAGTCCATAGAATTGTAAAGGCAATGTTTCATAGCAAAGAATCTTTCCATATCTTTGAGTATTCCATGGATCACCAGTTTCTTTTTGTTTAAATTGAATATCAATGGCTTGACTAAATTTTATTGTTTCATGTGTCAATTCATACTGGCAATACTTTCCGAATGTTCCTCGTTTGATACATTTACAAAGAAATTGGTGATCAATATCTTCAAATAATGATTCGTTATAAAAGATACCGGCATAAATATCAACCATTTCAATGCTTGAGCTCCATGTAAGAACTTCATTTGGTTCGATTTTCTTACTGATTAGATCATGAAATGACATTTTCTCGCCTTGATTCTGACATTCATTCCAATTTTGATCGATACGTTGAGTGGCACGAAGACGTTGACAATATGGAATTTCTTGCCCATCATCAGTTACATAATAAACACAATCAAATTTTTCAACAATCGATTTATTTTCTGTATTATACAACAGAATTCGACCATATATGATAGTGATCATTGAAATTAAGATAGCTACTAAAGCCAACATCTTTGAACAAACGTAGTATGCGTCAAGTTTTCTTACAAGTTTATAGTGTTTCAACATTCATCATTCTTTACCTACATGATATTGTTTAATTCTTTGTCATCAAAATAGATTGTATACAATAAACAATTGAACTGAAGTCTTGTCTTCGAAATCTATTCAGGTTTTTTCATCTGTATATCTATATCATTTGTCTTTTTTAACAGAAGAAAAAGCTGATAAAACTACCATTTTAAATTGACACGCCTTTGCTATTTGATTTCTCTGTTATTTGTCCGATTGTGCCATTTTCTTGATAATGTGTCTTTTTCTATTAGGTATGACGCTGAGCCAGGATCATGTTCAGTAACAATTTATTTAGTTTCTCCTATAGTCGTAGGACATATTCTATGAACTTAATAACAGGGTGTGGATATGGATATGGGTGGGGTGCGGGTGTGGATGCGCGTGCTCTAAAAGAGAAACCCACACCCACCCACCCACACCTACTCACCCACACCCACACCCACACCCACACGCGCACCCACACCCACACTCACACTCACAGCCATACCGCACCCATATCCACACCCATACCCTGTTTTTAAGTTCATAGAACATGTCCTACAACTATAGGAGAAACTAAATAAATTGTTACTGAACATGATTCTGACTCAGAGTCATACCTGATAGAAAAAGTCACATTATCAAGAAAATGACACGATCGGATAAATAACAGAGAAATCAAATAGCAAAGACGTGTCAATTTAAAATGGTAGTTTTATCAGCTTTTTCTTCTGTTTAAAAAGACAAATGATATAGATATACAGATGAAAAAGCCTGAATAGATTTCGAAGACAAGACTTCAGTTCAATTGTTTATTGTATACAATCTATTTGGATGACAAAGAATTAAACAATATCATGTAGGTAAAGAATGATGAATGTTGAAACACTAGAGGATGTGGGTGTGGATATGGGTGTGAGTGCGGGTGTGGGTGTGGGGTAGAGACCTGCGGGGAACTCCGAAACCCGATTCCAACTCCATCGGAGTCGGAGTCGGGTTTACTGAAAAGGTTTTTCGGAGTCAAATCGGAGTCGAAATTATAACAACCTCTAATGAACTTTTACTTTTTGATACTACAATAACTTTATTTTTCATACTAACAAACAAAAAAAAGCGAAAGGCAGCACTCATTACGTATGCTAAGAATGAATTTTAGGACCAAAAGATGGGTCAACTTTTGGCTATAACATTAAGAAAGATCAACCTCATAAAAACATGATGCCAGTGATCAAAAAATATTCCAGTATCATCCACAGTACAGTAATTCTCGTCGTCATCAATTATCGATTGGTTGATAGAACCCTGCACGAAGTCGATTTCGAAGTCATCGTCGGAGTCGACTAAATTTTATGCTAAAAATTTCGCTTAAACACAGGATAGTTTTTGAATTGTAGGTTTTGTTCTCTGATATTTACTGTATAAACTGATGTATTTTGGAGATTCTAACGACGTGTTATCAAAACCTATGGACATGAAAGACAGTCGAAAGGGTGTGGGTGTTACTATTCTCTCTTACTACATCTACACCCACACCCACACCCTTTCGTTGCCGCTGGATTCCAATTGATAATCGAACAACCAATCAAATTTCAAGGCAAATGGACCGTAGATTCAAGCTCAGCACCCTCGAAAACCCCTAGGTACATGTCTGGTACTTACTCACAACGTGCTGCTCAGTAGTTCTCCGATAGTACCGAATGCTGCAATCTCATTGGTCAGATACATAGCGGGTCTGTTGCGGGCGGAGGACTGATGTTTTTTCAACAAAAAAGTAGTCGTTGATCTTCTCCTCGATGAGAGAGTGGTCCCTGCAAAGTTTGGTTGCATTTGCTCGTACCATGTCCAAATGCATAAAGAACAAACAAACTTTCTTTTATACATATATATATATATATATATTCGATAATGAGTATCATATTTGGTGGTGATACTGGAAAATGATACTCACTTCATGAGCATTTTATCCATAATGATGCATATTTATTGAATTTTATTCAGATATTCTATTTAGTTTATTAAATATCTTCGTCAAAGTGTTTATCTTAGAAAAGTGCGTCCGTTTTCGTTGGATATGATTTAAGGCATTTGAAAATATCATTAAAGATTATTCATTGAAATTTAAAAACAAACGCATTTTCGATACCATAGAGCGTTGCTAGACCGAAATTTCCATTGAAATATGATCATTGTTTGGAAGGGAAAAGCGTCGCATAAACTGATTGAAGTTGTTCATCATTGAGCAAATTTGGTAAATATTTTGATGATATTATCTTGTTGAAATAAATCAACTTTTCTTATTTCACTTAAAATAAAATTCATTTTTATTTTTTATAAACAAACATTGGTTGCAAAAATCGATTCTTTTATGGAATAAAATAATTATATTTCTATTTAGATGTCAATGACTTATTTGTGTCGTGAAGAGAAGGTACATTATCAAATACGATTTAGAAGAGAGTGTTCGACTGTATAGTAACGAGTAGGCCGTAATAAATTGCACAAAATGTCTTTGCTTTTTTCGTTGATTTTCTGTTCCGATAATATATTGATTTTAATGTGAAAAGATAGAGAATCTCAAGCTCTAGAAAACAATCTAGTTTGTTTTTCAAATATGTTTTTCCTGTAAGCGTCTTATTAGAGAGATTCATATCTACTGAAACATTCAACTGTGATTTTCTATTTCCTGGTAAAAATTACCAATTAGTACAAGCTTCTGCTCATCAAGATCGATTCGTGTCATCGGATGTAGAATTCATATCTGAAGAAAATGATGTAACTATTAAACTGAACAGTTAAGGAAGTTGGCTTATTTTGAATTAATAAATGAACTATGGTCAAGATTTATCGCAAAAGAGCTTTTTCATTGTTTGCACATGCTTTTCTTCGAAATTGTTTCTCTTAAATCTGTATATGAACCATTATTTAAAAATTTTCAATTTTTTCCGTTTTTTTTCTGTTGCAGCTCGATGATTAACTAGATAAGAATCTCTTAAATAAGGCATCTACAGAAAAAACATATTTGAAAAACAAAGTAGATAGTTTTGTAGAGCTTAAGATTTTCTATCTTTTCATATTTAAATCAATTTATGACGGCCGATGCATTATTAATAATTGACGATGACTTCTAACTTGATACGTTACGTAAATGAGTTACTTGTAGGAAAATCTCTCAATTAATAGGATGATTGTTAGATATGATCAATGAAAACTTGAAAAGTGAACAAGTGTATCGTCATATGCGATCTAATTGAGTCTAATATCTCTTGAATCTTTTCAAAGAAAGTGATAATCTCAACCATTGATAATTAAGATGAATTATAATTGAGAAGTGATCTTTTCAGAATAAAATCATTTTTAATTCTCGGAGAAGTATCATTGTTTGAGAAAAGACTCATCAAATCTCTAGGATAAACGTTAGTTGTCTTTATTATCCATTGTTAAATTATGTATTGATAAATGTATTTATTCTGATCCTATTTTTGTTCAAACGATTTGAAGAGATTCGAGAGAGTTAAATATTTGAAACATTTGATAGAATTGATAATGAAAATTTTCTTTATGGTATTAGATTTTTCGGATAATCATAATAAATGAAATTCGATTTTATTTTCAAAAGAAAATAAAAGTAATTCGAGATGATATTTTTAATGAATGCGATAATCTCATCAGATAGACTTCAATTGAACTTGTAATGAGGTTTAATAAGTGCACTTGCTTGACTCTTTTAGTTGAAGTTGATTCTTCAATTAATCTGAATAATAGCATGACTAATGGAATAATTAAAGAGGAATGTAGTTATTCATTTTTTATGATCATTATGTGTAAAGATGCATTTATTAAATGAATAAAACACAATGTTAATGCTTCGATGCATTGTTAATGAAATAGAATTAATGCTCGAAATAAATAATCTTTTATCTAAATTTTTTTCTTTGAATTGAGATAAAAATAAAATTTTTTTGAATATAGAAAATGAGTTAATATAAATTTAATTGTGTCAAACAAATGCTTCTGATGTCTGAGGACAAATGATAGATGATAGAGGTAGATAATGAAAAGAATGTTTTTACTTGGAAAGAATTTCTATAAGATAAGCTTTATTTTAATCAAATATTAAAGTAAGAAAAATGTATCATAAAGAATTTCTGTTTTCTTTTATGTAGGATTAGGAAGAGTATGTCACAATTAGCAAATAAACTTCTAGAATTGTCAATTCTAATAAGTAAACCTTATTTAATATTAATATATCTATTTGGTCTATTTGGTAATATATTTAATATAATTGTATTTTGTCGATATTCAATGAGATTAAATTCATGTTCATGGTATTTCTTAACGACATCATTATTTCATATAATTATATTGACAGTTGGTTGTCTTATTCGAATTATAAATTATTATCTTGGATATGATATATCAATAATTGGATTAGCTTTTTGTAAATTTCGTGCTTATATGGTAGTTGTTGGTTATGTTCTTTCACGTTATTTTTTATGTTTAATATCGATTGATCGATGGATGATAACATCAAAAAATGTATCTATTCGTCGTCAATGTACTCAAAAACAAGCTCAATTAGTTATTATAATAAGTATAATATTCTGGTTTTTAATTGAAATATTTATTCCAATTGGATTTAATATTCAAGGAAATAATTGTGTACCATCAACAGATCTATTTTATTTATTTATGTATCGAATTATTGATTTATTATGTACTTTATTTCCATTCTTTATCTTAATTATATTTAGTTTTTTAACATTACATAATATATTAAAAAGAAGAATTATTCCAAATGATGGTCATACTCTTGCCACTATTTCTGCATCTCGAAATAATAATCATCAAAATAAGGCATCGATAGTGAAAAGAGTATTCCAAGAAAATAATCGTCATTATCGAAAATATACATATAAAGATTATCATTTAATTCGATTATGTTTTAGTCAAGTGATTGTTTTTATTATATTAAATATTCCAGGTGCATTATTTAGTTTATATATGTTTATAACACGAACAAATATAAAAACTATCGATCATTTAACTATTGATTCATTTCTTAATATAATTGCAACCAATCTTGCTTACACTCATTGTGCAGTAAGTTATTATTTTAAATAAATAAATTAAATATTTCATTATTATATTTTAGTTGACATTTTATTTATATACATTGACATCGAAAGAATTTCGAAAACAATGTTTCTTAACTATTCATTATATTCAACGACGATTTATTATTCGATTTCAATAATAAAACATTTTCGTTCTTTTATTTAATTAACATATTCGAATTATCATCTTTACTAATCTTCTATTCTATAAACTTTTTTTTTTGTTGTCTCAATTACTAAATAAAAGTTCCATGCATTATTCTATTAACATAAGCATAATAAAAAAATTGCGTTTCAACATTTTTTTGTTCATATGAGATTCCTTAACATTTTGACATCTAGTTTTATTCAACGAGAAATAATATCATAGATAACAAAATTACTCTAATCAAGCATTTTCAGCGTAATGACAACATAAAGAGATTCCACTCAAAGTAAAATACAAATGCACTTATTTGAAATAGTTCACACGAATATTGGCACGAGAAAATTTTCATAGAAAAACAATAAAAAAAACCTAATCTCGATTATAGGAAAGATAAACTTTTCGGTGGGTGTGGGTGAAGAGAAGATCAACATCCACACCCACACCCTTGCTAAGTTTTCAGAAGAATCAACAGAAGTTTGATACAATTTTGTGACTCTTATTGCTTAGAATTTAAAAAATTGAGTAAAATTTTGAAACAATTCTATTTTCATCAACAGAAGACATATTTCCTTCTTCTAAATAAAATTTCGATTTAGAATTAAAAAAACAAAGCAGAATTTTGCCAGAATTCTATCTCTACCAGCAGAAAACGCACTACTGTACTAAAAATTCTTCCTAACCAAAATAAAATTTTGTCTAGAGTTCAAATAATGTAGCAAAATTTGGACAAAATTCAATTATGTACCACAGAATCCAAATTCAAGGTTACAAGATAATTTTTTATTCATACGTTTTGCTAGAAATAAATGACTCTTCTAAACAGAATTCAATTAAAAATTTAACAATATAGCTGCACTGTGGAATAGGATTCTGTTAAAATTACGGCAGAATTTGATTTCAATTCTAATCTCCGCGTTAAACAGGCAAGTCTATTATACCTAATACTCATCACATAACAAAATTCTGCTCAGAACTGAAAAACTCTAGCAGAATTTGGCATAGAATTCTATTCCTACATTGAATGTAATCAACTCTACAGTAAACAGAGTGGGAAATAATATTATTCAAGGGGAATATCTATATAATTTAAACTAGAAGACATAATGAATTTTATCTGAAATGAAAGCTCATTAAACATGTGATTTATTAATAAACCTTGTAATGTAGAACTTACGAAATTTTCATAAATTTTATACTTTTATGGCGTAGAAAATTAAGGTACAAATATTTTTACATGATCCGATAGAGTTCATCGGGCTCTACAAAACTCTGTATATTAAAAAATCTTTAAGCCATTTTTATGCGATAAAAAATTTAAAAAACTACCTGAAAAATGATAAAAACGTTTAAAAAATACTCATATTTTTATGTGGAAGAAAAACATTCAATTTTTCAATAAATTTACCTTTGTTTTTTATTATTTTTACTACCTCAGGCATTTGAAAATATGCTCATCCGATATAGTTTTTCATGTTGTATCGAATGACTATATTTTGAAACACCTGAGTAAACGTTTTTTTATCATTTTTCAGGTAGTTTTTTGAAATTTTTATCGCATAAAAATGACTTAAAGATTATCGATTTTTGAATTATTTACACCTTAATTTTCTACGCCAAAAATGTATAAAATTTATGAAATGTTCTTAAGTTTCACATTAAAAGGTTTTTATAACCCTCATTATTTAGTACTAATAAAACACATTTTTGACGAGCTTTCATTTCATATAAAATTCATTATGTCTTCTATTTTAAATTATAGAGATATTTCCCTTGAATAATACTATTTCCCACTCTGTAGTTCTCATTACAATAATTTGTCTCAAACTTTTATTATGTATGCACTATGATTATTATTAATATTTTGTCATTTGACAAAAAATAATATTGTAGAAATCAAAATTATGGTAAATTTATTTATTACTTTGTATCAAGGCATTTAATTAAAAATTGTAAATTTTTCATCTCTTTTGGATAATAGATGACACGTGTTTATCTTTTTACTAAAAAGATAAATATTAAGCCTGATAGGCAAATCCTCTTCTAGTAGATTATCTTTTGATTTATCATTTATAAAAAAGAATGTTGAAAAAAAATAGTTTCATTTTTAAACTTACCACCAATCAGAAAATAGATAACGACGTAAATAAAATGACATGTTCATGTCATTAAATAGTGTATATAGTATTTTTTTTTTCTTTAGATATAGTAGTAGTGATGTATGAGAATAACTCATTAACAACAAATATTGAATCATGGTTTATTCCTTTCGATATTCTTAATATTCTATGTCTTTTTTTGGTTATTATATTTGCTTCAATATTTTTACTTATTATCATATGTGATAAAACATGTCATACAGTACCAATGATACTTGTTGCTAATTCATGTTTAGCTGAACTTCTAATTACAATTGTTTTGTTTTGGATGGCTGTATTTGCATTACAAAATGATCTTAAACGACAACAATATGAAGATTTGTTTTGTATCTTTCGAGGTTATATGATTTATGTTACTTGTTTTACACAAAATTATTCTTATTTTCTCCAAGCAATTTATCGATATCTAACAATTGTTTATCCATCTCGTTTATTTTGGCAATCAAAACGGGTTCAAATTTTTTTCATTAGTTTAAGTTGGATCATCGGTTTTATATGTGCTCTTCCACATGTATTCACTGGTGAAATCAAATATCTTGTTGATGATCAACTATGTCAAATGCCTCTTCATCTTTCTATTGTCACAGTTTATAATGTTATTTTGCTCTATTTAATTCCTATGAATGGCATAATATTTATTTATTTTAAATTAGTTCGATATGTTAAAGAAATGGGTAAACGTGTAACATCTGCAAATATTTTATTTCGTGTACAGAGGGAATTAAAAATGGTACGTAAAATAGTTATACTTGTATCAATTTTAGTAGCATTTGGTTTACCTTATACAACCTTCGTATTTATTGGTTTCTTTACTCAACCACCAAAATATCATTTTCGTATTGCTTATACATTTATTAGTGTATCATTGATATTTATTATGATTGCTGTATTTCATAGTACAGATCCATTGAAAGCATTTGCAAGGAAAAAAATAATCAAAAGATCAACAATGACAGTACAAACAGTGCAACAAAATACTTAAACTTAAATATAAACATCTGACTATTTAATCGATGTTGTGTGACTCCGAAAGATGTATAAAGACGTTAATTTTAATATTATGTCTCTTCTAATTGAGATTAACTTTGTTCAAATTCAGTTCGCTTTGGCATTTATACAAGCTTATTTCATTTATGTTGTTGAATAAAACACAGTCATGTAGAAGATTTTACACTAAAAATTTTTCATAGAAAAAAAAGAAATATAATAGATTTGTTCAACAATAAGTAAAATTAGTTTAATTCATATAAAACATGATGAAATTAAAGAATTCTGTATAAATAAATATCTTTTAAAAAATAAACATAGTAACTGTCTTGTCTCATTTAATAAAAATGTCAGCTGAGAATAATTCATTAACAACAAATTATTGAATTATATTTTATTCCTTTCGATATTCTTAATATTCCATGTCTTTTTTGGTTATTATATTTGCTTCAATATGTTTACTTATTCTCTTTCTCATAGAGAAGAGTCTAGCAAGAATAAATTGTTTGCTTGTGTATCCGCACTTCACTAATTGATCCAAGAATAATGTGAAAACAAAAGGGATTATTTTCCTTAAAACTTGATCAAAGGTAATCGAGGTGAGGAGTTCAAATCTGACGTTAGTTTTAATTAATTATTAATTATTAAGATTTTCGAAAACCTTGACAAAAAGTAATTGAGAGTGGGAATCTGAATCCGAGGTCGGTTTTGATTAATTATTTGTTAATTAGGTCTCACAAGTCAGACCTTCCACTCTTCAGGAAGCTGAACTCAAATGTCTAGCTGAACTTCTAATTACAATTGATATGTTTTGGATGGCTGTATTTACATTACAACATGATCTTAAGGGGCAACAATATGAAGATTTGTTTTGTATCTTTCGAGGTTATATGATTTATGTTACTTGTTTTACACAAAATTATTCTTATTCTCTCCAAGAAATTTATCGATATCTAACAATTGTTTATCCATCTCGTTTATTTTGGCAATCAAAACGGGTTCAAATTTTTTTCATTAGTTTAAGTTGGATCATCGTTTTTATATGTGCTTTTCCACATGTATTCACTGGTGAAATCAAATACCTTGTTGATGATCAAGTATTTCAAATGTCTCTTCATCTTTCCATTGTTACAATTTATAATGTTATTTTGCTCTATTTACTTCCTATGAATGGCATAATATTTATTTATTTTAAATTAGATTCGATATGTTAAAGAAATGAGTAAAAACATGTAACATCTGCAAATACTTTATTTCGTGTACAGAGAGAATTAAGAATGGTACATAGAATAGAGTGTGGGTGTGAGTGTATATCTCCATTCGTATCCACCCACATCCTTTAAAGCAAAAGTTGAAACTAGCAGATTGATTTGTAGTTTAGATGCTAGAAGTTAGTCTATTTTTAATTCATTTACTCAACCTTTCAAATAGTAAGGTTTAGTCATTCTTTACTAAAGTTATTAAATGATTTCCAAAAATTAAGACACAATGAATTACTAATAAGTTCAAATTCTAATAACTACAAAAGCTTGTCACTTCATTACGACAAATTGATAGACAAAGATATTTTTAAAGCATGTTAACAGTTGTTAGCCTGTATGAATTGCATGAAATTAACATGAAAAAGTAGCGTCTTGCAAAATCATATGTGCGACTTTTTCACCGATGGCATATGCAGGAGCCTGTGTATGTCCATTATTTATCAAAGGCAGAATGGATACATCTGCCACTCTCAAACCCTCAACGTTTCGCACACGAAGTCGATTGTCTACCACTCCCATAGGATCAGTGTCAGGTGCCATTTTACATGTACCACATGGATGAAAACATGTGGTGGCGACGGCTCGTACATGCTTCTTCCAATCAGCCAGATCATTTGGATGGGATATTGTTTTCGGCCAGAGGCCAACAATGATATTTTTCGTTCCTCGACCTTTCATTAACACTTCGTGTCCGATTCGACAACCTTCAGCGAGTACAGCTACGTCGAGATCATTTTCAAGATAGGCATGATCGATGATTGGCTTACATGTTGAGTCCTTGGACGAGAGTCGTACGGTACCTCTTGCTTGTGGCCCAAATAGAAGAACAAATAGCCCAATACCTCCTTCGCCTTCCACGGGATTTTGTGGTAGCTCATCTAAAAAAGAGTCAATAGACTCTTATTCACTAAATTTTATTGAGCCGTTATATTCCGAAGAACCTAAACTGCATGATAAGATATTGTGCAACATTCAAGATTTGCGCAGTTCAGAATATACATTAACAGTTTCTCATGAAACGTGACTTTTTGCTATATACAAAAACTTCAGAATCCACTTTTTCTTCACTATATTTCCAAAATGAATACGACTATTTAAATTCAAATTCCTATCAGATGAAGCACTAGAAATTATCAACTTTCAGAATATGTACCCAACTGTGATCATAGTACTAGCCGATAACTATCACTTGATTGTCATTAACAATGTAATAAAAATAAATTCATGGTGATTGTTGCATTATTCATTCTATTTCAATTTGTCCGAAATAGGTGGATCTGACTGATTTCGGTCATTTTTCATCTGATTAAAGTAACGGAGAGTGGAATTGGATGATTCTTCAACAAATCAAACGCAAACAAGTTATTATAGAATCTTGGCACTTTAATCCATACATCTTTTGGATTTCTAATTATCATTTTATTGTAATTTGTCTGACAGTAGAAAGACTAAAACTACATATATTTACATTCAACTCGTCATATTCTTAGTTTTTTACTTAGTTAATTTGTGAGTGAATCTATTTTCGTCGAAACCTTCTAATGTTATTTTCACTTCCTTTTTTTTATAACACTCAGAAATTGCGCATACGTACTCAAAATTTAGAGCTCGATCTTTCTATCTAATCAAAATACAACAAGACTTTCCTGGAGATTGTCTCAGAATACAATTGTTTTAAGCAATTTCTTTTTATATTGTGATCGACTGACCTGATTGTGAGCAGGTAGGCATATAAATGTACAGTTCTGTAGTCCAAAACTCAATATGAGGTTGATTTGGCCATTGTCCAGTCGGATCGCACTCTAATGGTTGAACCTGTTGCTTGTGGAACTTTGCAGCTTCCCAAACAGGATCTTGAATAGTTTTGTCGATTCGTTTCAGAGCAAAGAGACCAAATGGAAGGCCTGCGAGGAATCCCGTTTTTGTTTCATGCCATTCTTTGATTGATAATGCAAAAATGTCTGGGGAATAGTAGAGAAATCGGTCAAGCGTAAGATTTGAATCATTGACTTGATAAGATGTATAGACCTAAATGATAAACATGAAGTATTGCATAGTTAAGCTGAGAAATTTTATACCATCAGATGATCTTGAAGATTGCTGCCTACACCTGGCAAGTCAACCTTACAATTGATGTCCATTTCGACTAGATGTTCTGCTGGACCAATACCGGAATGCATTAAGACCACCGGAGAATTATAAGCACTAAACAAAAGTAGTCTCGCTACACGAATTATAGACGTCTTTCTAATCCAAATCAGATTCGACTGATTGATAGTTGGTGAAAACTACTCGATTCTTTATGAATAAGTCAAAAGACCGAAAGAGTTATTGTTCATCGCTTCTACTGAAAGTGTCCTTGAAACTAATTCACTTTAGTGTTGAATACTTTCTCGGAAAAGATTACTAATCTCAAAACGCTACTAATTTTCTTGATAATGTATGAACTCGGTCTCGGGATTGAGCCACATGTCTCTACAAACATACCCAGCACTTAGAATAATTTCTTTTCTTGCTTTAATGATTATCGGTTGGCCATTTTCATCGTAATGGGCTTCTACACCGACAGCTTTGTAGTCGCGCTTTTCTTTATTGTTTATATTGTTTTTTTCCAGAATGATCCGGTCGACATAGACACCTGTTCGAACTATAAGGTTTGTTTTCTCGTAATGATGAACAAAGTCCGCACTTGTACTTCGAATTCCCTTATAAACTGTCCGTACAGGATATCCAACACCTAAACAGTTCTTAGATGAGTTTCAAAGATAGAAATGAACATTACAAACCTTCATAGTCACCCTGCGCAAACATGTCTGGTTTGTACTCAAAGCCACTGTCAATAAATGATTCAAGAACTTTTTCAGAGATAGGTGCTTGTGGATATGGCTCGGTATGCAATGGTCCACTGGTACCATGAACAGTCAAATCTGACCGGTGCCATTCAGCTGGATGAAACGTCTCAGATGCCTTAAAATAGGGCAACATTTCTTCCCAACTCCACCCTGGATTTCCCATGGCTGCAATTCGATCATAATCCGCTTTAGCGCCTCGAATAAGCAATGTACCATTGATTGCACTACATCCACCGAGAAAACGAGCACGTGGTGCACTTATAATACGGTTATTGCAACCTTTCTGAGCAACAGTATCATAATTCCAGTCGTGCGACTTCTCCCTACTTAAAAAATAATTACCAGGTATACGACCATTGATGACTTCTTCATGACTGTTACAAAAGATTACTCGTTCAAGATTAGAAAATTAGGAATATAAACGAACAAATCTTGGACCGGCTTCGAGAACACACACACTAGAGTTTGTATCTCCTTCTGCCAAACGTCGAGCTGCAACCGTCCCGCTTGTACCGCCTCCAATCACAACGTAGTCATAAGTAGCAATGTTATCCTTCGTATCAGCCATTCTAGAAAATGGACAACGAAACTAGTTTATTGATCTTACCACCACAAGTACTTTAAATGTGTCTACCGAAGAAATCTTTTAGCTCAATGTAACGGCTTCTTTGACAATCAACACATGTGTTGATATATGCAACTAGGAAAGAGAGGAAAGGACAAGGGTCGGAAAGAGAGAGAGAGATGGTCATTGATGCATAGTTATGATGAAAGTAAGGACAAAGAATGTAATAAAAAGGAATGATAAGGGAAAGAAAGGTTAAACATCATGTATGAGTAGTTAATTCAGCCAAGTAATAAAAGTGAGTAATGGTACATACTAAAATCGATCGGGAAAGGTTACTTTAAGAATTCAAATTTCAGTATTCATCTTTGTTTCATTTATTCCTGTAAGATCCTAATATATTCCCGCGGTTACAATAGCCAACACTTCATATTATTCACTAACTTTTTGTGACGTTCCAGATCAAGTTAATTGTATGTTATTATCTAACATCACTTTATGATTATATTGATTGTTCATACATAATATGTTGTTAATCCTCCCTAATATTTCTTGTTACAACACATTTTCTTCATCGGTCTTACGTAACTATATATACTGACAATTCGTTTATCGTTTACTGTTAGAATACCAATACATCTATCCCTCTTTATAATTAACCTTTTCTATCATCTCTATCTTTCTTCTGATATCTTCTTCTATTCTCCTCTTCGTATCCTGTTCTTTCTTCCTCTTGTTTTCTTATCCGAGTTATTTATAAATGTGTATTTCGTTTGCATTCTGTTACGATTGATGATATGAATAAAAAGTATAAAGATCAGTTCCATCTAAACTAATATCTGTTGTATTAGAAATTGTTACACTTTTCATTCTTAGTAGAAAACGGAATAACACAAAGTGTTCTTCTTCTGTTATTTCTTCATTTACTGATAGATAAATTGTGTTACTTTACATGACTAGTTCATCGGAAATAAAACGTTCATTAAAAGATATGATTTTAATTTGGATTTAGTGTAAAGAATTTAAAGCTGCAAAAGGATAGGAATCTATTTGACCATAGACAAAGTTGAGTCAAGAGACTAATTTTGCATTATCGCTATGTATTTCTCTATTCTTTGCAAGCAAACATACCGTAACTTCAAATAACGTCGTTTCTTTCTATTTAGCGTGTAAATGCCTGTCGTCCCTATTATTTATATCAATAATATTCAAGGCTGTTCTTTGTCGCCAAGATAGTGTTTTTGTTTTTGCTTGACAATCTTTGATAAAAAAATAATAGCAAGCATACTGTTACGAGACAAGCGCCTCATTGATAGTATTTCATTAAATACATCGCTATTCTGTCTCTATGTCCACATGCCCCACAATATTTTGCTCGTTCTCGATGGTCCTCTTTGTGCGTTATTCGATAGTTAGTCGGTAAGAGAGTAAACTCATAGATTACAGCATCCAACAACAAGCTCTAAAAAATATATTTATAATACATTGGTCGTCCATGTATTGTTGTTCAATTATTCCGAAATTTTCATGAGATCGTTGCGTCAGCAGACTGATATGATGATGATCCAAAGCAGAATGGTCGAAATTTGTCAATGCTCAGACATTCTTAATATGGCTTAAGAGAAGACTGACATCCACATTCACACCATCCAAAAACAAAAAAAAATGAAACAATAAGAATGAAAGGCGGTTGTTATCGATATTAGTCGTAAATTGTGTTAGGAGAAAATGAACAAATATGCATATTTTGGTGCTTTTTTTGTCAAGTGAATAGACTAAAAATATCCAAACTTTAAATGAGAACAAAGCAACGAACGTTCTTCAACGACCTATTGAAGAAGTCAGTAATGAAGAATAGAAGCTAAGCTAACATATGAGTGAAGTATTGTGACGACGGTAAATAAACATGTACACTTTTTTTTTTCTCCTCAAAAGTAATCTCGTTCAGGGACATAGGTGGATGTAGACGTTTCTTGATGAAGTTAATTTCAGATTATAAAGATAGATCGCGAAAAGTTGTGGGCATGGATGAAGAGAAGATTCACAATAACATCTGCACCCGCAGTCGCATTCTATTTTTCTTTTTATCTAAAAAGGTATAAAGATGCTTATCCAACGAGGTTTCGGCACTCATATGTTCATAGAGTTGAGGATTTTTTATCTGATTTGGTGTGACGAGATGGGTATTCAACTAGATACCGATATATCTATAAAGTTGAGAGCTTTTTGTGGTTGTGTTAAAACGTGCCTTCTATTGAAACTCATCCCATTTAGCAGTCAGGTGCACACCTGAACCTACAAAGAGTTTCCAAAGACATTGCCATACGGATAGTCAAACTCATATCAACATACAGACGCACAGGAAAACTCTACTTCAAGCTTCTGCGATATCGATGGTGCATCAATACAAAAATGCTGCTCGTCAAGCATAAATTTACAGATTCTTTCTTTTCTCTTCGTTAGAGCTTTCAGAGACAAGCTCGATTTCAATTCGCCTTAAACATAAACTAATAGAGATGTATAAAATCGTTTTTCCTCATGTTTTCCTATTTTTTTTAAATTTTTAAAAATCTTTTAAAATTATTGTTCAATTTTGTCTCAATTTCAGCTTCACCTAACACATTCTCATACAATCTCGACGATATAGTCAAGGTTTCAGACCATCACCACAATCTATTTAGAGAGAATAGCAGATAAAAAGTTCAAGATTGAAATTAATTTCTGTTCTATTAACGAGTATCAACAAAAAAGAAATGGCTCACATTTAAATACAAAGTAATTCATTGAAAATAACTCTAAATAAAAACCCATTTTTGCTAAGTTTTTAATTTAAACTCAAAGGAAATACTTTTGATTTTCTAAGCAAAATATTGAAAATCAATAAGTAAATAAACAATTTTTGTTAAGTAAAGAGACATAAATATCTAAGCAAAAAATTTAATTGTGTATCTTTTGTTACTTTTTGTGGTCGTCCTCTTTTTCTTTTTTTCACCTAATGGTACATCTGTTCCTGATAGAAGTGGTTTGCAAAACTTTAACCTAATCGTCATACCAATACTGTGTTTGCAAATAAATTCTTTGAAAAAGCTTAACCAATTTCAAAATCGTTTTTCTTTCACTCTGATACATTGTCTGACAAGATAACTTTCCATATTCCAAACCAAAGATCTTTAAAGTAGTCGAAGGGCGTACTTTTTTTTTCTTTTGTATTTCTGTATGCCATTTGTTGTAAATGATATGTTTAATACTGATTTTGAAGATTTTGCAAAATGATATGCATCAGGCCATTTTTTTTATTCTTCTTTTCTGAAACATCTTGCTGTTGGATTTTCATTTCGTTATTCGATTCTGATGAACTTTCATACATTTGTGTTGCCAAGTAGAATCCGTCGGGTTCGGGTCTAAAAATTCTTGGACTCGATAGACCGCAATTGTTATAAAATGCGTCATGCTTTATAAATTCAAAATAAACTTTCAATGACAGATATTTATACAAAAACAAGGAGGGGCGAAGACTCACTAGAAAATGTCAGACACGAAAACCTTTCGAGAAAACAACAAAGCTTATACGCAGTATCAGCTAGATTTGTGTTCGGATCGTTGAGACTGGAAAATGTTTTCAATTTCAGTTCAACAATGTGCCGTGCATTATGGTTTTCAGATTACCGTACATGAACAGGAAATGTTCCATATTGCGTTTGATAGAGTATGGGTGTGTGAATTATTGTCTACACCTACATCCACACCCTCAAGTTGCATTTGTTGTTTCAAAAAACAAAAAAAAAAGAAATGTGACAATAAAAACAATACTGAGACGAAAAAATCGATTTGAATTACACTGTAAAAAAAGATTTTGCTGCATTGATTTGCTATTGATATAGGTTATTTATTTGAAAATAATTAACATTATATATAACAAAAACATAAACAAAATATATGTAAAACAAAGAAATTTTTACCACCATAAATGTAAATCATTATCAATATATTTAATAGAATAATTATTGAGTAAGTTTTCTGATTTAATTAAAATTTTTGTTTGTTTTAAAAATACTTTTGGTATCTTCAAAAGACATAAATAACATAAACTTTGTGTTTTATTATGAGTTTTTGATAATAAAAATCGAATTATTTGTTCGATTTCTTTTATGTTCATTTCAACTTTGAAATATTCTAATCTTGGAAATAAATCAACTATAAATTTAACGTCACTTAATGAACATTTCCAATAAAGAACTAATGTTTTTACTTTATTTTTCTCTGATACATATTGAAAAATTTCATTTTGTTTATTTGAATTCTTATTAATATTATACAATAATAATGAATTCAAATTCAATGTATGTACATTAGGTGTAAAACATAATAAATTGATAATGTTTTCAATTGGAAAAATACAACATTCAGTAACTATTTTCGTCAGTTGCTTTAAAGGAATCATACGTTGAAGAGTTGCAATAGTCGAATCACTTGATTTTATAAATTCATTTTTAATAGATAATGTTTTAACATTTGGAAAATAATTCATACAATCATGTTCGACTTCTTCATTAGCAATACAAAGATGTGTCACTGAATTTAAGTTTTCTTTTTGGATATTTGAACATATTGGATTAATAGACATCCGATAATATATGTAATCTTTTCGTCTAAATAAAGAAAAAAAACGAATACAATCAATTTGTAAAACTTGTCGACGTAGTTTCTTGTTCTCGACTGATTTTAGAATTGAATCACATAACGATATGTGAGTTTCGTCATATCGGCAAGTAATTTATCCACTACGTACAATTTCTGGTGAATTGTATTCTAAATTTCATTTTATTTACATATATCAATTTTAATAGGACTATCGGATAGAGCAACTCTCGGATTTAAATATGGATCAATCAGACATTGTTATTTGATTCTAATGACATGTCATTACATAGAAAAATCGTTATATATGAGCAATGGACCATCCTAAATCAATTGAATGATACTTTACATTTTCAAATGTGAAATTATCTCACATTTTTATCAGAATGTGTCTATTTGTTTGTAACGGAGTCATCAAAATCACCATTTTCATGCTTAAAAAGACTGTTTGATGCACTGATTGCCATTTTTTTTTGTTACGTTTTTCTATCATCATTTTTAAAGAGCGCTTGCACCTATAATAACTTATAAATATTTGTCGATGTCTTCAATCTGGTGTAAAATGAATCACTTCTCGATACACTTGTGTTACTGAATATCCTTGCATCTTATTTTGTCGAATAAGAAAAGTTGCGGCTCTCAAAACTCTATGTGTTCTTGAGTTAACATAAAACATGTTCGTGATTGCTATGTTTATGAATGAAAAACAATTTCTATTCACCGATATGGAGCGGTTGAATAAAAAACTCCACTATTTGATTCGCTCCAAAGATGTTGATGTGTAAAAAACCATCTTTTTTCCATCCAAAATGAAGAATTAAATTGATGAATCATATCATGATATTTTAAATTCTTATTTGTTATCCAATCTTCATGATTTATATCAAATATACGTAAATATGGCATGTGAGATATTATTACTTCTTGCCATCGTTTAGCATTTAAATAGTCCTCATTAAGACGTGTTGTAAAACGTAGAAGTTGAATATGATAAAAAAATTTTTTGATAATTTTTTCAAATTGATCAAAAGATATTCCATTAAGTTTAAGTGAAACATGTTTTAAATATTTTAATTGAATATGAGATAATTTTTCTTGTTCCACATAATTAGGAGAAAAAACAATAGGATTTATTGATAAATGTTTAAGTTTAGGAAGATGAGATAATAAATTCTGAAATGCCTTGATTGGAAATTGACCATTTATTATCAAACATTCCATAGGACTTGAATCATCTCGAGTTGAATAAAATAGTTCATAATCATTAACTTTCGTTTGATATTCGATTTTACAATATTTTAATTTTGGTAAACGAAAAATATTTAAAAAAAGAAGATCTAATGCTCGATTGTAACCAATGAGAGATATAGTTAATGAATGTAATAATGGCAACTCTTTTGAACGACGAATAACTTTGATAAAATGTTCAATTTGTACGTTATCAAGAATTAATATTTGAAGACGAGTAAAATTTAAAATAGTACGTGATGATGGAAAAATAATGTCAGTGGTAAATGGATTTGATAAACGAAGAAATTTTATTCGATTCCGATTTGCTATAAGAATATTCTGATAATAATCTTCAAAATTTGATTTTGATATTGTTGAAATATTCATTCTAGTTAAAACATTTGAATTAATAGTTAGATTTTGAAATCGTTTATTAAGTTTATAGAATCCTTTATAAATATCATATGAATCAAGATATTCAAATATTTCATAATGAATTTCATTGGCTAAATCTTCAAGAAGATAAACCCTATCTGACTTGGTTGAATTGATTGATGTTACTAAAATTGCAAAAAGACAAAAATTAGATATAATATATATATATATATATTGTTCAGTGTGTGTCTGTTTGTCTGTACCGGGTCAAAGGTCGAGGATCAAAGGTCAAAGATTATAAGGCCATAAGGTGTAAGGTTAGAAGGGGATAAGGTTGGAAGGCTACTAAAGAACAAGGGTATGTGGTTTATCTATTTATATAATGCGAAATGTCTGATTGTCTATCATCGAGGCATGGTTAAAGCAGAGATGTGAAACTTTACAAAAAAAAACAGCCGTACAGTATGCACGGGATCTCGCTAGTATATATATATTTATGTGAAAAATTACTTTGATTTTCTAATTTTTGTTTTCTATTATTATTTGAAATTTGAACTAGATGGTTGTCTTGCTGTTTCGTTCGTTTCATGTTTAATATAGTTAAATAATTAGGACACTATTCGAGAATGTTATTTTTTCCATTGATCATGAACTCGTCCACGTCTGCAATAATAAACACATAGTCTTTTTCTTTTTCGACGGTATATTGAACAGACTAGGCAGATAAAGTAATATTTGATATTGTACTTTTGACGACTCTTTCGTTAGCATGGAATACGCCTTTTCGGTGAAAAGACAATTGATTTTATGATCGTTAGCATAATTTTACTTATGGTGATATAAGAAGAAATAATTGTTGAAGAACTATCAGAACTTATTTATATATTTCAGAAGATCCATATTCCTCACACTGACCATCATTTTACAAATTCATTTCAACAAAAATTCTTTTCTTTCCGAGATATTCAAATTCTGAAAAAAAGACAAATTTTCACATCTTTCATGAGATATGAGTTAGATTTTGATTTCTTGTACGTCAGATAAGAAAACTTCTCAACTTATCTTTCTCACTGACATGCCTATTTGTAGTCTAATAGTTTTAGTTCGAAAAATCACTATTCAATTTGGTAAGAAATACTCCACATCATAGACTTTAGTCGCAAATCTCAACAGTAGATTTAAAGAAATGTATTCTTTTGGAGATTTTCATAGCTCAATGAGATTCATTTGATGCACAAAATCTGAACTTCAAATAATCTTATAGTTTAAAATGTTCGATTCTGACTATCAGTTAGAACTGAAATATATCTCTAGGCAAAGCCAACGTTGCTATCATATTCACACTAATATCACTTTTCGCAGTCTGAAAATATCTAATATATGTTACAGAACATTATATGTTTTAGTTGTCATACTGAAAAACAAGAACTTTCATAAAACTTTTCCTGTTAGGACCATCTTCACAAAATTTTTAACGTAATGAGCTTCTTAATTTTCATTTACTAATTAACAGATTTTCTATTGTCATACTGTAAATTGAGAGTTAACCAATGGGAATATTTAGAATTAACGTAAAAGAAAATACACCGAAATATCTATCTTTTCGACAAAAATCTAGAAAGGGCCAGAATAAAATAGTTTGATATACAAAAAACAAGAATATTCTAAAAAATTGATAGGATTTTTCGATCACAATCAATAAAATAGTATCATCGAATTTTCTTCATTGTATGCAATCGAGAAATATGACAAACAACATTTTATAAAGATCTTGATGACATCTTCTGTTTTATTGCTTGACTAGATCCTTCATTAAATTAGATTTGCTAATTAAAATAAAATCACAAAAATATATTGAACATTCGACCTCTGATTTATTTATTTACCAAAAAAAATACGACAAAAACATATCTTAAACAACTAAATGTTCATCATAATTTATTTATTTAATAGAATAATCATTGAGTAAATTTTTCAATTTAATTAAATCATTGAATTTTTTTAAATATATTTTTGGTATATCTGAAATGTCTTCCAATGGAAAATGACAAACTTCAAACAACGAATTTCATAAGATGTTTTAAAGAAAGTAATATTTGGAAATTAATTTTAGAGACGATTATTTTTTATTTTAATAGAAGTAGAAAGATATTTAACTGATTTTATACTTCCATCGTCAATATGTAAACATAAGAGAATAAATAAAATGAAATAAGAAACAAATTATGATTAGGATGTGGATGTCGGTGATATCAGTCTCAATATCCTCTTAATTCAAACTCTATTCTCTCTGGAAATTTTCGTTTCATTTAGTATCATATGTAGTTCTTATTGGGCTTTGTTAAAATGAAGTTTTCTATGTATAGAGCACAGTATCGTAAGCTGAAACAATACAAATGTAGAAAATTTAGAGTATTACACGACGAATTACTATTTGTAAAAAAAGTAATATTTTACCTGCAATCATCAGTATACATTCAAATCATAAGTACTTTGTCTTTGTTGCCACGAAAATCATTCACAAAATGGTCAATATTTAATTTCTGATTGTCTATTTTGTCTTGATTGGTATCACACAATATCTTAGTGATTCCTCAGACGTGAAGAAAGCGTTTACATCATGTAACAGTAGGGAGAGAAAATGCTTTATATTTATCTATACATCTGATAATGAATATGTATGATTATAATATTCTTACATTGCGACCTATTGTTCCCATTGAAAAACCTAATAGCAGATAGATATCTTTTTTAAATTGACACGAATCACACTGCTCTTTTGAAAATGATGGGCAAAAATCAGAAAAGACAATAGAGGAAGAAAAAATAAAGTAAAAGAAACAATATTCAATGAGTGACTTTAATCGAATCTGGATTATTTCATCTAGAGACGAATTTATCTAAGACATGCCTCATAATACTTTTATTGAATTTTATCATATGAGTGACATGATCAATCTATTGGTGGTTTTTTTTCTCATGAAATAATACTGGAACACAATATTTTGATGATTGATTTTACTTCAACAGTGATATTCAAGTTTATTCATGAAGAGTATAGAATGTTTTTACTTAGCTTAATAGAGTTGAGATCAATCGATTGAAATAGTATATCTTGTTTTCAATATGAACTAACCTTCGAGAAAGGATTCGAATTTCTTGAATAGGTTGATTGTTTACTAAGAAACAATATCTGAATTTGAATTCCTTCGAAATCATACATGATATAAATGAATCAAAAACATACCAAAAATTGGTTGTATATAAAAGTTATTAGTTGTCTTTATTACTAAAGCAAAAGAAAAGTTTTTCTTGATTGAATATAGCACATTTTCCCTTCGTTTTTATATTCGTTAAAGACATTGACAGGTACGAACAGAGCATTCAATTCAATATCATCTATATAACAGCTTCCTCGTACATGTCTCTCATAACAAAGCTAACTCAATATCATCCCTCAATATTCAAGTAAAATCAGATTCTCTTGGCAGGAACATCAAAATACATCCCACCATACAACATATCACAACAGCTTATATGCAAAAAATCAAAATTTCTCTTAACTCACTTGACTTTAGTGATCATACAGAGATAAAAATATGGTTCTCAATTGATTATTAGATTCGACATTGATATTTCTTTTATGACATATTTTGCCTGATGAAACGATGTCAATAGGAGAATCTTTATTGGAAATTTTGCTTGTGAATAACACATATAATATTAAGATTGCCGTGAAATTATCATCTTCACCCTAATTTCTTTTGGATATATTATGAATATAATGAGAGTCTATTCACTCTATTTATCTAGTTACCTTCCTTATATTGCAAGAAAAATCTGCTTGACTTTTCCGATTTATTGTCACTTAATAAAAGTTAAAAAAATGTTACATATATAGAACAGTCAAAGTTTAATTCTCGAACTCAACATTACAGTTCAGTCATTGGAAAATACTGTCACATACGTGTTTAAATTTAGTATCATATTATTCTTTCGTAAAATGAATTTCTGAAGAATAATGCAATCTAAGTTATTTATAGCATAAATTGAATGTAGTACTTATCCTGACATATTGTGCTTGTGTTCTAGATTAAAAAGTGAATCCCAAAATTCATTATTGACATTGTCCTTATATATTTCGATAAATTGGTCAAGAATTGGTAACAAATCAGTGATATACGTCATAAAGATGTCTTCATCGCCAGATAGAGTCTTTCAAATCGTCTAAAGTACATAAGAATGGAACATTGCGAATTCTACACATGACCACGCCATAACAGTACTTGAAATATTTGTTGAATGTTGTCATGGTGGCTAAGCATGAAAGTAGCGATTCGACTTTCATCACTGTAGAAAAATTATTTTCTAGCACATTGTTGATATTGTTTTTAATATGTTTGCCGATTTCCAAAAGCATTCTTTCCAAAAAATCTTCCCAGATATAGGGAAAAATTTGTTTTTAAATGTGTATTCTTAGAAAACTTTTGTAAGCTTATAAACGATCTTAACATGAACAAAACAAAATGTATTTTTCATGCAACTATATTAATAAGAACACATCATGTTTTGTACGATGAGTCCAATGAATAATGGAATGAAATACACATCGAGATATCAGCGTCGAAACTCTGCTAGCTGCTAAAGATTAAATTAATTATTCTTGGATGAAAAAAAATAATAATAATGTAATTCAAATAGTTTATTGCAAGAGAATCAGCATTCTTTATTACACTATCTAGCAACATCCCAGAAATGGTAAAATGTCATTTGCCACAAGTGTCGTTTACAAATCTAGATCAAATCAATTTTGTTGATATTAAGTTTAAAAGTAGATTATGAAATGAAAGTCAGAAAGAAAAACGTAGGAATGTTCATATATGTAAGTTGCTCACTCACATTTGGATCTTCCTATGTTCAACACGGTCAATTACTTTTGATCTTCATGATCAACGAAGAGAGATGACGTAACTATTCGCTATTATCATTGACATATGTTACAAAACTTATATACACCAAAAGCCAAATGTTGTCAGGTGATAAAATAATATCTTCATGAGAATTGTATGCAGGAAGAAACGCTTGGAGAACTACATGTTTTTCAGCATCATGAGTGTCTAAGAAAAACTTCTTAATAGGTATGACTTCTTTCACACTATCAAATCTGTAGTTTGAAGACGAAATTTTCTTAGAAGAACGACAAGCAGTAAATATGAATTTAAGTCATACATTATGATCTATATTCTTCTCACATGAGTTATAAACTCAAATTAAATAGTAAAGAATAGAAAAAAGAATTCATCATTGTATGTACAACTCTTATTATATTTCCTTTTCGCTCTTTGCTTTTTTGCAGCATTTCAATACAGGAAGACAAACATTTGTTTTTGTATTAATATAAGAAAGAAAAAAGAAAATGAAACGAAACGAATACGATAGATGGACATATAATGTTAAAAGTTTTTTGTTTTCTTTATAGTCATTTTATGTCGATAATGGACTATGGATTAGTCTGAGAAAATCAAAGTTTTATCAAAATTTTTCCGAAATCAAAAATATATGTATATATCAATATGTTGTATATCTCCT